GAGTATAAAGACCCGTACTCCTCCTTTGGCCCCCCCCGTTCCCCCCTCCTCCCTCGCCTCCAGGTCCAAGCCCTCCGCCCCCTCCACGAGCTCTCCCAGCACGCGCATCTTACGCCGGATCAACGGCCAGAGCGCGTCGTCCAAGGTGCCTCTGGCCAGCAGGTACTCGACCTCCACCTCCGACGTCTGCCCGATCCGATGGCATCTGTCCTCCGCCTGCAGCAAGGCACCCGGCGTCCAGAACAGCTCCGCGAACAAGACCCGGCTTGCGGCGGTCAAGGTCAAGGCCAGGCCCGCGGCCGTGAGGCTCAGGAGGGCCACGCGCACGCCCGTGTCTGTCTGAAAGGTGTCCACTCGCGCCTGTCGCTCAGGCGGGGGGGTGGAGCCGTCGATGCGGATGTGCGGCACGTCGCGGAGGCAGCCGTCTTCGATCCCGTTCATCACATTCATGTGGTGGGCGAAGACGAGGAATTTTCCCGAGAGCTCCGAGGCAAGCAGAGCTTTGACACGGTCCACGGCCAGAGGGATCTTGGCCGTCCCCGTCAGCCGGAAGACCTCCATCAGCAACACCTTCTTCCGTTGCTGGATCTCCCGCGCGCTCCAGTCCTCCATTGCCACCCCCGACCCTGGCTCCCCCATTTCTCCTTCCCCTTGTGAGGCTTCAACGCTTTGCCTATTCGCTCCCGCTCCGGCGACACCCTTCCCCTCCTCGCCTCCAGGGGGAACCGCGCCCGTGCCACTTTCTCTGGCTCTCTGCTCCCGCCGCTGCCTGGCCAGGGTGGCGTACAAATCCTCCGATTCCTCCCCCCCGCCCTCCGCCTGCCTCCTCGATCGTTTCCTCGCCCGCTTCTTCGCCGTGGCCGAGACAATGCTCAGGGCCTCGAGGGCGCCCTCCAACTTCCCCCGGATGGCCTGCTCCGGCACTGTCAGCTTGTGGAAGGTGCGCCGCTTGGGCGGCAGGCCCGTCAAGATATCCTTCTTCCGACGACGGACCATAACGGTGGCCTTGAGCATCTCGTGCAGTTCCCGGAGGTTCGCGGCGCCTTGGCCGCGCCCCTGCCACTTTTTCCCGGGCCCCGACGTCTTGCGGCCCCGGCCCCCGGTGCAGTACCGGCGAATGAAGGAGGACATGTCGCTCCAGGCTCGCCCGTTCAGCACATTCAGTTGCGTCCACAGCTCACGCGGACGGGAGAGAGCCGGGGTGCCCGAGAGGAGGATGGCGCGCGTGGCCTCGGCCAGCAGGGGCAAGAGCTCCTTGGTCCGTTGCGCGCCGGCGTTTTTAAGGTAATGGCACTCGTCCGCCACGACCACACGGAAGCGGGCTTGCTGACGGTGCCCTACCGCCACCCCGGCGCTCCGGACTGGCGCGCGGAGCACCTCCTTGAGGCGGAGGGCCAGGCTGTAGGAGAGGATGACCACCTTGCTCGTCTCATGCAGGCGCTCCCTCCCCGCTTTCACCACCTGGATCTCCTCCTTTTTTAACACGTCCCGGTCAAGCCACTTTAACAGCTCCGCCTCCCAGTGGTAGCGGGCAGAGGAGGGGCACATGACAAGCAGGGGCCACTCGGCTTTGTAGACGCAGGCGACGGCAATGGCTTGGATGGTCTTGCCCAGACCCATCTCGTCGGCGATCAGGCCCCGCCCCTCGCGGTCCACCACAAATGACACCCCTTCCCTCTGGAAGGGCGCCAGGGCCTCCAGCAAGCGCCGGGGTAGGAGCTTGCCCAGCTTGTCATGCGCCTGTTTCTGGGACTCGCTCTCGGCCAGCCGCTCTCCGTCCGTCTGGATGCTCAGCTGGCGCAGGACGTCGTTGGGGATGGGGGAGAGGGCCAGGACGACGCCCGTCTCCCGGTAATGTTGGCGGCGAAGCTGGTCCACAGCCACGCAGAGGTTGTTGTGCGCGGTCAAGGGGAAGTACCAGCGCCGTTTGCTCTTCTTGTGCCGGGCCCCAGGGGTCAAGCGGAAGGTGGAAAGCACGCTACCGGGGACGGGCCCGGTCAGCCTCGCCGCGAACTCCCCCCCCGAAGACACTGCAAAATGAATGCTGGGCGCCACGGACACGTACGAGGGCCTCTCAATCGTGCCGATCCTCCCCATGACGCCGTACTTGTCCGCGCTGGCACTGCTTGCCACCCCGCCGGTCACGCCCATGCCACGGCTCTGCACGTACGCAGGGTAGTAGGGCAGCGGGTACCCCCCCAACTGCACGGACCCCAGGCCCAACGGTGGCTGCACTCGCATGTGTCCAGGGAGAGTGGGAACCGAGGGGACCTCGGGAGCACGGTTCCAGGGTCGCCCCCGTCGGTAGAACTCTTGCTGCCGGTAGAACTCTTGCTCCGCCAGGAAGGCTTGGTGTCTCAGGCGCAGATGCTCGTTGGGGGTCGCAGCCATTGCCAAGGGCATGGGGATTATAGATGCTCCCGCTCCATCCCTCCCTCGGCTTCCGAGGGCGCCAGCCTGCTCGTCTTGTTGCCTTCCTCCCTGTCGCCCGTGCCCAGCTAGCTCCTGTGTGGGTGTGAACTGCGTCTGTTGGATGCAATCTGGTTGACCATACTGGGAGAAGTTGAGCTGTACATCGTCATAGCCCGAGCCAGCATTTGGCCCGTGAGCGCTCGGAGCAGTCGAGCGCGGCTGCTGCGCTTGCTGCTGCTGCGATCGCGGTGCTCCGACGTGTCTCTCTCCATTTTCTGTCCTTTCGAAATCACAAGAAGATCCATCGCCTCCATCCTCGCTGTCATTCAAGGTTAGATCAATCGCAAGATCTTCATGCCGCTGCACATGTGGTGCGGTCTGCTCTTGCCCTCGAGAATTCTGCTTCTCATGCTCCCAGGGAGGAGGGGATGTACGCCGCCCAGGGGCCTCGTGGTCGAGTCGACAGCCATCCACCTGCATGGCTGATACATCCTGGCTGACAATGAGTGGCCGCGAGTTTTGTAAAGTCGCCGTGTCCATTTGCTTCTCAAGGTAGGAAGGACCTGACGGTCCTGTCGTGCGTATGCACCCCCCCAAAAAGCGTATTAATGTTTGCGATGATGGCTGGTCATGGAGGAAAAGCGCTGCGGGTGTCTGTGGTGTCATGTGAATGGTGACAGAGGCATCATTATTACTGTCTTTTTAAGGACCGTCTCGAGGTGCTTTGTAAACAAAGCAAGGGAGTATATTACGTATGACCTAGGTGGGAATCAGAGCGAGGCCCAAGCAGGAAACCCAAAGAGCTCGGAAGCGAATGCGTGGGGGCGTATCACTTTTTCGACTTCCATTTTCTTCCTTTTCCCGATCAATTTGTATCAGTTATACAAGTACTGACATAATCTCAATTCGGAAGGCTCCAGGGCTTGTTGCTGGCTCCATGACGCGGGCACTTTGCGGCAGCCATCAGAGATGCGCAAGCAGAGGGCCGGTTGGTGGCGCTGTGACATGCCCTCTCCTCCTGCTCCTCAAAATTCTGGTATTCGTGATGTATATATCCCCGTCCCCCAGATCCGTGCATGCAAGCCATCATCAGCCTGCAATGAATGTCGCAGCAGTCATAGGAGCTCCTTTTATTGGCCGCCGTTCTGGTGAAACCTGTCCAGGCCGGCGCGCCCCGGGTACAGTATGCCCTCCCTCGTCCCGCTTGGTATTAGCTTGGGGAGGTGGATGGGAATTTGACGATGACGTATGGGAGCGCTTAGGAACAAGGATACTTAACTTCGTGTTGCGCCGTAAGGAGCCCGAAGAACCACATCCTCTGCGCATGCAGCGCTGGACTATTTCCATGCGCCGCTTTCCGTTTTTTCGACTTGTTGTTCGACACATGCAATTCTACGTCGACGGCCGCTGCGAAGTTGAAGAAGAGGTACACTCACCACCTCTCTTCCCAAAGCGGAGGAAGAAAGCGGGCCAGTCCGCTTTACCCTCCGCAATACGTGCAGGCAAGGGGGAAAGTGCGCAGTCTCGAAAGTTACGGAAGCGGAGGCCTCACGTAAAGAAGGCAAAAATCGCGGAGGAGCCCCCTACCCTCCAAGGCAAGTGGAAGTACGACAAATATGGCCTCAACTGGGAGCTGGAGGAAGGTGGTCTGCGGTATTTCTACCACGCTGAGCTCATCTGGCACTCCTTTGGGGATCGGCCCAAAATGCACTGTGGAGTCGTCGTGCGGAACCGAGGGCCCGGGTCGCCCTTGCCGCCTTGGCTTCTGCGCCCCGTAGTGGGAACTTTTTCCGGGCTGGGAAATGGCACAGATACATGCCTTATGCCCGAGTCCCAGGGAAGTAAGGACAATCGGTTCCGGGACTACTGAAGTGAGGGGCAGGGCCGTTAGAGAAGACCCCGGTGTACAGCAAGTAACTGTTTTCGACTACGCGTACCTTAGACAAGGTAGAAGTCTCACGTTAACTTTTATCAATGTCTTCTTTAAAGAACAAAAATGTTGCCAGGCTCAGTCGATTTAATTTTAAACCCTTACGCCTGTGCCTCGGCTCAAAAGGATGCTCCCGGGTCCCACAATTTCAAACTACCTATACATAGCCACACCCTGACGTGCCGCACTGAGCATACGCGTATGGACAGTCTCGTCAAGCATGCAAGGAGACAAGGCGCTGTCCAGAGGACAGACCACGATAACGGGCCGCCATGCTCTTGAGCTTAGCCTCGCCGTGCTGCCAACAGTTCACTTCCATGTCCCGCTCCATAGCCTGCGTGGGAGTATAAAGACCCGTACTCGTAAGTGCTGAAAATCGATTGTAAAGACGACAACGGTGGGGCGCGAGAGAGGCATTTGAGCAAGCGTGCGGACGCTTCCGGGTGGAGCCTCACAAAAATCGGGCATTTCCTTCTCCACACGAAAAGGAGAGCATGTGGGCCTCCAACGTCCCACAGATTCCGATGCTTGCTAGTCCCATCCAAAGAGGACGTCGGCGCGCGCCACGCCAGGAGGCATCAGGCCATGGGCAGCCGATCACCTTTTTGGTGAGCATGCCTCCCGTCACCCCGTCCATCCTGGCGCATCAACTGCCGCGTTTCCTCTTCGCATGGCTTGGCTCATCCAGGGATAGCGAGGAGGCCTTATGAAAAATCATCATCCATGTAGCTTCACAAATTTGAGTGCCGTGAAGATCAGGTTACAACAACAGGACTCAGCTAGTAGTGAAGCACGGTCTGAGGGACCGACGGCGACTATAAGGCGGACCAGCACCAGGGCAAAGAACAAAAAGACGCGGTATTTTGACACACATACACATCTCTATCACATTGATGTCCTACATCATGACAGCAGGAGGGTTAAGATACTTCATCCTTTCACGTACCTTGTAATCATTTCCATGAACCATCAGGAGTTTCACAATGTACGCCTGATCCTCTGCACTCATTGGACGTCGTCGCGGATTTCGATCTCGACGCTCAGCTGGGGGCAGGCTGAAAACATCTTGAGGGTCTATGCCGGAACTTCCGGTGGGAGATGCACAAAACGCTGTTGTGCGATTGGGGTCGTCCGAGACGCCCAGTTTCTGGAGATTTTTCCGCACGGAATCCTTACCTTCCCACACTGTTTGCACAACTGAGTGCATCCCAGTCTTAGGCTTCGAAAATTTGCTGTGATTTTGTCTTTTCCCTTGCAGACGGATCTTCTTGGCTCCTCTCCGGACTTTCATTTCGAGTGGTGGCGGCGGTAGCTGCTACTGCCGCGATACTGCCTGTCAAGATGTCGATAATTGATGCAGTGAACCAGCGAGTTCGACAATGAAGAAAATGCAGTGAAACGCGCAGGTCTATTGCATACCCGTGAGCATACTTTCTCCGCGCTCTCCACGTGACACCTAAAGGAGTCATCCAACCTCCTCTTCCTGCGGAGCCCCTCGACCCTCCCTGGAACAACCCGCTAGTGGTTTCTTCCAAGAAAAAAAAATCAAACCCGCCATCATGAATCCGCGTAGATGCGCAGCAGTTGCTGACGTTTATGGTTCGTCATAACCCAGCAGTTTCTTGACCTTGAACAAGAACTTTCACTGGACCAGCTGCCGAGTTGTTGACAATTTCCAGCCACGGCGGCATCATCCTCATTACCATCGGCGTCACGGAGATCAACGTTAACGGGAGGAATACTGGCAAATAGCAGACAACAAGACGTTTTGTACTTTGATTGCTGCTGAAGCATTTTCAAAAGCTGGAAAGCGGCGGTGAGATGGCTCGACACGATGATTTTTGCAGGAGAGGCGCAGAGGCGTCAGGCAGCACCAGAATGTGCGGTTTGGGAAGAAACATAAACTATTTTCGGGGGAAAAGGGCTGAACAAGCGCTTCCGAAGCTACGTTTACCCACCGCCTTGCTAATAAATGCTGCTGACGCCGCCAACACATTTTGCGGTGGCCGTACTGCTTGTAACAAGAAGGCGGGTGTCCAACATCTTTTTCCGATTTTGTCGATACTCCTGTGTACCCTGCCGCACGCAACAGCACTCTTGACCTAAGCTTGTCTTACATCATCATGAGGACGTGATCAATGCTTACGTACTTGTTGCTCCGACGGTCGAGAAAAGAAGGAAAGTAACCCTGACATCCGACGATTCCAAACCGTAATGCTTCCATCATGGAGCCAAGACGTTTCTGCTGAGGGTTGCTTCTCTTTGTACCCAATGTGTCAGGCCAGATGCATCCAACCGGCACCACAGCACTTTATTGTCATTCATCAGCCTTCCTTTCATCTATGCTTTCTTTACGTAACATTAACTTTGAACGTCTCCCATCATCAGAACTCAGCCTGACCGTGGGGCGCGGTGTATATCGCACGACAAATGGATGCTTTCTGACTTCCTAGAT